TTGTCTCCCAATACAAGCTTCAGGACAACGTTGGGTTTAAATGTTGCCTTGAGCCATGCTTCAGGATGCAAACTCAATCAAGCGAAAGTATGATATATCCTCACGTACTAATTTCATTATAATATATTTTGCCTTGTCCCACCTTGAGATGAGGTACCGGTCTGTGGTAAGGAGGTAAAACCGTTTGAGCAAAGGTATTGTGCCAGAGCTCAAAGATGGATGATCCAAGCAGGCAGAGCCTCGTAGAACCGTCATCGGAATCACACACGGCCAGGGCGAGGAAACTGAAGTTCTATCTAAGGCGTTGGCAGCTGCGGACAGTATCCAAAATCATATGCCAAGATCGAATGGGATGAGAAACATAAATAAAAATGCTCTTCGCCAGTCCCTTGCATGCAGCTCTAGCCCGATTACGGCGGACTGAATCGCATGACTGATGGATGACCGATGGACTGCAGCAGAGACGGTTTGATATCATAGGGGCTGAAGACATCCCATTAGGAGACCTCATCTTCGAAAGGACAATGAGTTGAAAGAGAGATATGCAAGTACGTAGGAACAAATCGCACAAGACAGAAGAACATGTGCATCGAGATGTCAATTAGGAAGATGCATCTGTCAATTGTTACTGCTTCATTATTTTCATGTGGTACAGTTGCACTGTATATTTTATGATGTAGTTTCATGCATAATATCAATTATTCATCATGGCATTGATGTTAAACATTACTCCATTGTCCTCCGTGAAAAGTTACTACCATATTAGGTAACATAGCAGTACAAAGATAGAAATTGAAATATCAGTAGGAAAGCATATTTGTCATTGCAAATAAGTCTAAAATAATTGTAACTATTACGATAGAAAACTATTTTTCTAAGTTGCAAAAAATTGAAATGACGATGTGTTCTGTACCCCGAATGAAAGTGCCGTTTCCAGTTATTGTTATGCTTGAAATGTATATTTAGTGTCATACTGAAGCGCTCTTATGACTAACCTTGTATTATGGGAACTGCAAAACGTTTTCTTCAGTATCCTCTTCCCGATGGACACCACCACTAGTTTGTCGAAATCATGGCATCTTCTCACACTGATCTTTCTCTGAATGGTCATCATCTGTTGTTTATGTGCACAAGTGACACTGAAAAATAAAAATAAAAAAGACCAGAAATATACGTGGGACAATCGAAACGTCATCAGGAAACAGAGAAGAGTGACAGGAAGATATAACTGAAGAAAGCGTTTCATTTTAAGGTTTGCAGTTCTTTAAACACAGATGCTAAATCAAATCCGTTTAAAAAATAATCCTGATATTCAAAAGAAACTGTCACAAATGGAAGTTATTCTATTTCATCGGCAAGGATATCAAACTGCATTAGACTTTGTGTGAGATATAATATGATATACGATTCCATCAGTCTCATACTGTATCATTATCGATGCAACTACCTTCCGTTAGCATTTATAGTGCACAGTTTCAATTACTCTATTGCCGGTAATGCTACAGAGCTATAATCCTCTTAAATGGTCTGCTTAGGGGACCAAAAGGAAAAGCGCGGTGCAGCATTGTCGCCTGGTCCGACGCAACTACGTGTATCGCCATTCTTCCTGGTAGCATTCGTGTAAGTCGAACTGTTAAGGGCAGAAGGGATATCGTAGCAGCTGTACGATGGGAATCAGCCACTTCATGACATTACCATAAATGTGATCCGTTATCACAATTATGCTCATTTCGTAGTTCCGAATATCACTGTCACCAATACGATAATCATAATAGTAATTAAAGCGTACATAACTGTCCCTGGAATAATCATCTCGGACTGCATGACAATTATTTCCCTGTCACGATTACATGCGTCGTTACTGAGATCATCGAGCAAATTATGACCGTTGCCTTTGTCACTGCAAACGTCGTTATCATCATGCTTATATTCAGCATAATTGGAGGCAAATGAAAAAAAGCTTTAGGACAAATTGCAAAATTAGTTCAATTCCAAAGAAAGCCCTTAGAATTGTCGCTTTCAAACATCTTGGTTTCAGATTTCACGTGATATTGAATAATCCTTTCGTGGATTGATTATATTCGAAAAGGAAAGATTTTCGATTAAAGGTTGTTTAATGACAGTTTAGGTTATCAGTACTATAAAGGCTTTGGTAATAATTTTTTATCATTAGTTGTAAAGTGCATTCATTGCGGCCAAAGAGCAACAAAACTTCACTTTGCGGATATTGTCCTCGTGCACGAACATAATCACACCAACAGCTTTGTTCTTTTCCAATCTTGAAACCAGTGACAGAAAGTCATGGTCATGAAATCCACGTTTCACCTTCTCATAGGCCGCAATGCAAATTCCTTAAAAGTTCAAACCTTACCGTACCCATTTAGTCACTGGATATTTTATACCTCTTTGCTCGGCCTGTTGCTTGAACGTTTCGACTCCCGTTTCTCCGTAGCTTCCCTCGTCGGCGATGGCTGATACGTAAGTCCATCCCAAGGCAACAATAATGTCAACCATCGCCTGTGCCTGCAGGTTATCAGGCGGAACAACGCGAGAAAAGTATCCGAAGCGAGTTTTGTCACTCAGGTCAGACGAAGTTGAGGAGTAGCTTATTTGAGGTATCTGAAATGAAATAAGAGTAATGAAATGGGCTTCAAAGATTATTAGATAGAAGATTGCAGATTTAAGTATTACAATGCCATTCATCATGCCATCTTCACTTGTACTCTAAAACTGACAGAAAATATTTATGCCTATGTCATGGGGTGAAAACGAAGCCAGTAACAGAGGCATTCGTTTTGCTGCAAAGTGCCTTTTTGTTCGCATTATTTGAAAGTTGCATGCAAACTATGCTATCCGGACAAGTGATTGGGAAAAAATTTATTTGCACTGTTATCAGTAAAAGGTTTCAGAAACTGTGATGAAGCAACAAGCCGAATTTAGATCGGCACGTGTGGTCTGCATATGAAATATTCATACGATGGAACATTGTAGACAGATCCCGTAACGCTAGCATGATAGCATGCAGAGATTAAGGATGCGGTGGTCCATTGACAGCAGGCTGGCTTGGAGCTCCAGCGATGTAGGGTTCGAATTACGAGAGAGGCAAACAGATTTCCTCAACAGCTAATTCCAGTGATCAAGGTAGCCACTCAGGTTGCAGCTGAGAAAGCGCTGGTAAAGCATAGCATGGTATTCAGGTGTGATCATACAGGAATGGGCGAGAAGTACGACCATGCTGTCCAATGCGAGCGCCTCTTGACCTTCAGTTCACCTTGACCACCCTGGTAGATGATTTTCAATTTAACAATCGGTATGAGGTATAAATCCAAGAAGCTGTACCTGAGTCAAGCAGACGTTAAATTGAGTTTCGCAAGAGGATCTATACAACAGAAAGGGGTATCACCGACACAGATGAAATTGTAAAGAAAATTCATGCGACATCACACGTTTATAATGAAGTAAATCTACACTTTATGAGACTGATTAAGGCGATAATGGGAGTCAAAGAGAACTGCTTAATTCCTCTGGTAACCGCACAAAGGACACAGATGCCTGAGAGAGACAGAATTTTCGTAAATTCCTTCTTTGGAGTTATTTGTAATTCCTTTAAAAACTGACAGTACCTTTTCAGAGGATCAACGTACTGCAATTAAATTTGTTTATCGTAACCTTCTAGAAAGTACCATAAGCGCTCGTGATACTAGCATGTGAATGTCTGAATGGAAACAACAGCTAGGACTTGTCACCAGTGTGGAAGAAAACAATAAGGGCACTGGCAAAGAAAATCAAATTTGAATTACACATAAATCTGTCAGCTTAGACAAATCCACATTCGCAGATTGTTAATTATATTTACACATCTTCAGATCACTCAACAGCAGCATACAGCGACATTGCTGACATGTTTTTTGCACAAGATTTTACATTACGTT